TAGTTGATGTCACTGAACTGTGCATGTAGAAATTTTTGAAATGGTGTATCTTTGGCTATGTATATTTTCACCAAAAAAAAAAAGGTCGAGAAGGGAGAGGGTTGACATGTTGTGGGGCTGTTAACCAATGTCATAAAACAATACGTGTACTGACTGTTTAATGAGAAACTATTTGTTCTGTAAACCTTTACCTAAAGTACAATTAAAAAAAAAAATTTAATAAAAAAAAAAGAGCTTGGCTGCTAATCAAAAGGTCAGCAGTTTGACTCCAACAACTGCTCCCTGGAAGCCCTATGGGGCAGTTCTGCTCTGCTGACTTGACAGCAACGGGTTAGGGTTAGCAGGAAACGTTGCCCCGATTTGCAAATCATATATTAAATAAACTTCAATCAATTTCTATTATTGGCTTAATATTATCTTTAGCTTTAACAATAATTGCCTGAAGTTTTTTATTCAAATGGCAGTTGATATAAACCTAAATTCCTTCTGAAGACTTTTTTTATCTAAAAGTTCCTTAATACTACTGCAGTATGAACAGAAAATTAGGTTTAGAAACGACTCCCACAAAAGCATTAAGGCCTCACTGGCAGGCAAGTAATGGGAGATTGTTCAAACCCTCACAAGGGATACATGAATACCACCAGCATAGTCATTAACACCAATTGAGAGTCAAAGAGAACACATCACACAGTGCTAAAATTCTAAATGGTTTTGTTCTTATGGATATAATGTCATGTAACAATCATTTTTTTCAGAGCATAGAGTGGGCTGCTAAAATAGCTCTCCCCTGGTTTGTTCTGGGATCAGTACTTTTCACTGAGGACTTAGGCAATTACCAGGAAAAGCAAGAAAATAAGCACTGTGGGTATTTTCTCCCCCTCAGTTTTCTAAAAACAGTCATATTTAATGTTTTAAAATTAAGGATCTATTGCTACAGGATGTTTTCTTTCTCTGTGACAACTTTATTTTACACTTTTTTTGAGCCATGTTCATTCTCTTGGAGTATCTTCTCTTTGAAATGTTTTCCAAGATTGTATTTTTATATTTCAGCCTGTAAACTCATAGGAAACATCTGGAAAGATGAACACCAAACCTAAAAGCGGTTATTTTTGTGAAGGAGAAGCTGATGACCAGAGGCTGGAGGAGAAGGGAACTCACTATCATGTACCTAATACTTACATATTCTTAACTGCCCTTTTTTTAAGATGTACTGGAAACCTAAAATTTTTAAAGAAAAACTAAAAATATAGCCTCTAATCTTAAGTGCTGTTAAAACTGTTGATTTTACTCAAAGCCCTAGGAAATAAGCACACATCTTCTTCGAGTGGCAATATTTTCTAATTATAGGTATGAATACTTCAAACCTACTTTAGAAAGTAAAACAGATCACTTTGAAATAACCTTGGTGGGTTCATTTCCTTTTCTAGACCACAGATTCAGATGATTTATGGCACTATTATTGTTATGTACCACAATCAATATGTCACTTTTTACATGTGAGGTACATTACCCTTGTTGTTTTTATGTGCTGTCAAATTTGGTGGGTTCACTTTCTCTTCTGAACCACAGATTCACACCATTTATGGCAGTATTACTGGTATGTACCACAATCAAGCACTGTATTGAGCCGTTCAAAGAGGACTTTTTCAAAGCATGACAATCAACTCGTTTGCTCCAAGCCAAAAATGGAATAGGAGAAATCCATGTATTTTAGGCTACAGTAAGGGTGTGTGCTGGATAGCACAGTCTATTTTTAGGAATTACGTTGGGAAACTTACTTTGTGAATGCATGCAGGAAAAAAACAGTAATAGACGGGTAACTCCCTGAATTATTTCATTCTTAAAATAGCTCTGTCCAACATGAAGTAGGTAATGTCTTCCAAGAGCCTAGAGTTTTAACTCTTACTATCCCCAAAAGTTTATCTCTATAATCACACATATAACTACAAAAAACCCATTGCCGTCGAGTTGGTTCCAACTAATAGTGACCCTACAGGACAGAGTAGAACTGCCCCATAGGGTTTCCAAGGAGCAGCTGGTAGGTTTGAACTGCCGACCTTTTGGTTAGCAGCCAATCCCTTAACCACTGTGCCACTAGGGCTCCATACAAGGTGTTCCTAAAAGACTTGATGGCTCATTTTCAACAAATAAATTTTAAGTTTGGAAAATCTCAAATATGTGTCACTGGCTGTTAAGAATAAATTTTAAGGAATTGATAGAGACCCCAGAGTACGACCACCTATAACTGGGAATGAGATTACAGCTCTCAAACAGCTCTCAGTATGTGATGCCCACAGAGAGATAACAGACAAGAATTCTGCGATCTATTAGGTAATGGCTTGTCTGTATTTTCTCTTGGACACCATTCATGACTTTATGCACTTAAAAAATAAACAGCAAACCATGTTGTGGCATTTGTGCCCAGAGTAACACATTCCCACTGCCAAATCCTAGATTTTCTCTTGGTACCAAAAAGCCAAAAATCAAACCCACTGCTGTCAACTCAATTCTGACTCGTGGTTACAGAGTAGAACTGAGCTCGATAGGGTTTTCCTGGCTGTAGTCTTTACGGAAGCAGACCGTCAGCGCCTCTGGGTTCAAACTGCAAACCTTTCAATTAGCAAACCATTTGCGCCACCCAGGGACCATACAAGCCATTCTTAATCCTTGATGTAATCTTTTTTTAAACAAGTATGACTGTTCTTATTTTCACCAAAAAAAAGAGGTCAAGAAGGGAGAGGGTTGACATGTCGTGGAGTTATTAACCAATGTCATAAAACAATATGTGTACTGACTGTTTAATGAGAAACTATTTGTTCTGTAAACCTTCACCTGAAGTACAATAAAGTATGAATGTTCTTTACCTTAGACCTGTTTGCTAAGCGAGAACCTAAGCTCCTGAGCACAAACAGCTTACTGCTCATCAGGGTTCTTCTCAGCTCTCCCCACTATGAAGAGAAAGTTAGGAACAACTCTCCACTTGGAAGAACAATCACAGGGCAATGGGTAATATTTTACTATTACATTTAACCAAACATGATTAAAATTGTGTTATTGTAAACTCTAGTTATTCCCTGAAAAGCAGACTACATGAAATAGACACCGATTTTTATTCAGCCTCCTAAAATCTCATTCTTGTCTTTAAGTATCCAAATTATATAGGCCACGTGTTATTTGCTTAGACTGTACTTCATAGCTCTATGTTTACACTAGAAAGTTCGAAGAGTTCCCTGGATCCATGCTAAAATTTAGCTCCTGGTGCTCCTCTGGTAAATTTAAGGTAAACATAGAAGAAATTTAAATACACAAAACTAAACACACAAGAAGTTCCTAAAAAGACTGAGTGTCCATGTGTAACTTACTGACATTGTGAATTGTCCATAATACTTACTGTTATTGTTGTTAGGTGCCGTCGAGTTGATTCCGACTCATAGCAACTACCTGTACAAGAGAACGAAACCCTGTCCAGTCCTGCGCATCCTCACAATCATTGCTAAGTTTGAGCCCACTGTTGCAGCCAATGGTCAATTCATCTCATTGAGGGTCTTCCTTTTATCGCTGACCCTCTACTTTATACCAAGCATGATGTCCTTCTCCAGGGACTGGTCCCTCTTGATAACATGTCCAAAATACATGAGAGGAAGTCTCACCATCTTCGCTTCTACGGAGCATCCTGGCTGTACTTCTTCCAAGATGGATTTGTTCAGCCCAGGGCTTCAAACCAGTTCATTCCAGTTCGAACCTCTGCTGAGAATTTGCATTTCCACCCCAGATATACTGAATCAGAATCTATATTTAACAAGATCCCCAGTGATTCTTATGTATAATAAATTTTGAGAACCACTGCTCTCTACTAGTGGTTCACAAAATTGGCCCCTAACCAGCAGCATTAGCAACACCTGGGAACTTGTTAGAAATGCAAATTATCAGCAGGTGTTCAAATCCAAACAAACTGGTTCAGAGCCCTCACTCATTCTCCTGGCAGTCCATAGTATATTCAATATTCTTTGCCAACACCATAATTCAAATTCTTCTTTGATCTTCCTTATTCATTGTTCAGCTTTCACATGCATATGAGACAACTGAAAATACCATGGCTTGGGTCAGGTTCATCTTAGTCCTCAAAGTGACATCTTCACTTTTTAACACTTTAAAGACTTCTCTGGCAGCAGATCTGCCCAATGCAATATGTCGTTTGATTTCTTGACTGCTGCTTCCATCGGCCTTCATTTTGGATCCAAGTAAAATAAAATCTTTGACAGCATATTGGTCCAGTTGTGAGGATTTTTGTTTTCCTTAATGTTGAGGTATAATCCATACTGAAGGCTGTGGTCTTTGATCTTCATCAGTAAGTGCTTCAAGCCCTCTCTGCTTTCAGCAAGCAAGGCTGTATCATCTGCATATCGCAGGTAGTTAATAGTCTTCCTCCAATCCTAATGCTGCATTCTTCTTCATATAGTCCAGCTTCTCGGATTATTTGCTCAGTATATAGATGGACAAAGTATGGTGAAAGGATACAACCCTGATGCACACCTTTCCTGATTTTAAACCATGCAGTATCCCTCGTTTTGTTTGAACAGCTGCCTCCTGGTCTATGTACAGGTTCTGCATGAGCACAATTAAGTGTTCTGGAATTCCCATTCTTCGCAATGTTACCCATAATTTGTTATGATTCGCACAGTTGAATGCCTTTGCATAGTCAATAAAACACAGGTAAACATCTTTCTGGTATTCTCTGCTTTCAGCCAAGATCCAATTGACATCAGCAATGATAGTACTTCCTCCATATCCTTGCCTGAATCTGGCTTGAATTTCTGGCAGTTCCCTGTCGATGTACTGCTGCAACTGTTTTTGAATTATCTTCAGCAAAATTAAATTTTTCCATAAATCAGATGAACTTTAATACAATATATTCGAAATGTGGGATGGGGAGTCGATCAAACTGAAAAGACAGTAAAGTGTATACTCTCAACTTAAGTTGATCCCAAACCATGTCTTACCTTTTCAGGTCAACGGTTGTGACACTAAATACAACTCCTTTCAGCCAAAGAATCATGAAGAGCCTCTGTGAAAAGGGACAGTTTCCTATGCTTTCACCATCACTGCCAGCCTAAGAGAACAGAAATAAATGTTAAAAAAAAAAACAAGGTAAAAAAGATGATACTCAAAACAGACCACTTTCTGAACCTTAATCAAGAGTACAAGAAGACAGGAAGAGCTGTATTATGGAAGGAAGGGTAGAAATCCAGGTCTTTATTATTTTACTCTTTCCTGTGCTTCTTTCCCTGCTTTGCTTCCTTCCAGTCTTATAAAGTACTGTCTAAAAGAACTTTCTCCAATGATGGAAATGTTCAATGTTTGCACTGTCCAATATGGTAGCCACTAGTAACATACGGCTATGGAGTACTTGAAATGTAGCTAGTTTGACTAAACTGAATTTTTAATTTTATTTACTTTTTTAAAATTCTAAATTAATTTAAATTTAAATAGCCACATGTGGCTAATGGCTACCACATTAGATGATGCAGATCTAATCAATCCTAGGGGGTACATATAACTTTGCCTCAGGACAAAAACAAAGTCTGTCATGGGTTTTATGAAATGTAAGAGTCATTTCTTATTCTATGTGACAGTATTCATATGTCAACATCAAAAAGGAAACTTATAAGTGTACCTGTCTCCAAAGTACTTAAATCAGCACCAATCCCCCTCCCATTTTAATAAATGTTCATAATAAACATCCCATATCCTGTTTAATACATTCTTTCAGGGAGCAAGAAAATAACAAAAGGTATCTTTATGATAAGCTATTTCTAATGCTACTTAATGAAGTGCAGTTAGCTCCTCTGATTTCAACCATGACGTAGAAGAATAAATCATCTTTCACTCTATCATGTAAGCCCCAAGTTTAAAAAGGAGGGAGGAAGGGAAGAAATAAAGTAGGTAGGGGAGGAAAGAAAGTCAGCCTGCTGGAGGAGACTGCTCTGGCACTCACTAGGGATCAACACAGCCCCCAAGTCATTAAAAGATGCTGGTAGAAGTACTGTGTATTTTCTTAAAGCAGCCCTCAAAAAATTCAAAATCACTTGAGTAAAATGCTACATCAGTAAAAGTCATTAACTCCTAAACCAATGGGGGTGGGGGGTGGGGGTGGGGTAAAAAAAGAAGAAGCAGTTAACTGATAAAATATAATGCAATCAACAGAAAAAAAGGCATATATGGAGTATCCCAAGACCCCACCCGAATCAAAGAGCATGAGATAGTTAAGCTGAACTTGGTTTAAAAAAAAAAAACAAAAAGTGATCATTCTTTATTAGTAACAAAATACACACAAAATTGTCACCAGAGTGGGACATATTAATTCCTAATACTACAACTTATACAAAAATTTACTTCTTAAAGATGGCATCAAACTAACTAGTTCTTAAACTTTAGAGTGGGATTCTGAATAACCTACAAAGAATGTTTAAAATGAAGATTCCTGGGTCTTAAATTCAGAGATTCTACACAGAGATTCTGTAGTAAGGCACCTGCTGACCACACTGAGGAACACTGGTCTGAGAAGGCTAGGATATTCCTTCCTCAAGGCACAAGTCAGTTTATAGCACTAAATCATCCTACTATATAACTAGTACCCAAAGTTGCTTTTTGAAGATGCTGACTATTCATTCACAGCATGGAACAAAGATGATATACAAGTAATTTTACAGATACAAAAAATTTAACAGCTTAATGGTGAGTATTTTCACACCAAGTTCTGGCTGTTAGATATCTACGTGTTATAATCCTTATTGTTTTCTTTTTTCTCCCTCCTGGTTTTAACATGCTTGCAGTGGTATAAATACAAGATATACTCTCTTCTAAGAAAAAGTATCCCAAATGTGAGACTTACTGAAAAAGCAGAACAGTTTGGTAATCAAAGAACTAGTCTGACTCAAGATCTTTATCCTATTCCACTTATTTAATCTATAAAATTAACTATAATTTCTCAAGGTACCTGTCATAGCAGTATTAAAATAATCAAATTGGTAAAGAAGATGTCATAAAGACGTTACATGTAGGCAATGAGAAACTCACATTAAGCTAAAGGCAAGGTGGAGAAAAAACAGACTGGCTACAGATCAAAAACACCACACTGTAACTTCCCACAGTGGTCTGCAGAGTATACTCTAGAGCATGGACATGAGAATCCCTATACACGGATAGGTTCAAAAAGACCTGTTCAGTATGCAAATGCCCTTTTGCTTTCAGACCGCCTCCTCTGTCTATAATTTTCTTGAAAATTTCTCAAATTACTTCTCCTTCAGGTATATCAGAAACTTGTTACACATTTCTCACTCCCCATATAACTAATTTCCTTCATGCACACACAACATGCCCATCCTTCAAGACAGATTTGAAAAACTGCCTTTTCAAAACTCATGACAACAGAAACAAGAAATAACTGCCACATGCAAGTTTTTCCAAAGTTTTAATAGTATTAGAAAATTGGAAGCTACTAGTCAGATCATGTTTTTAGCAAGTATAATGAAATTGTGGAGAAATTCTGATTTCTGTAAGTTACAAGTAAAAAACTACCTCTTTTAATCCAACTTACACTAATAAAACTCCATTTCAACAAAAGATGTAGGATCAAAAATACATACCATCTAACAATAGCATCAAAGAAAAGTATGTCTTTAAAAAAAATTTCTAACAGTAATATGTGCTCATTATTTTAAAAATAAAAACTAAAACACTACAGAAAGTCAGAGTTCTCTTACCCTGAGGTAACCATCCAACAATTTGTCACATATTCTTCCAGATTTTTATTTCCTATGTACATACCCTTTTTTCTTTTAAAAATGTGATCACACTAAACATAACTTTTTTACAATTTATATTTTATTCCCAATGTAATCAATCTTAAACCCTTTTTCTTATAAGTGTTCTATAATTTAACAAATTCCTTACTGATGGGTGTTAGATGGTCTCCAATGTACTGCTATTACAAGCAATGCTTCAATATTCATCCTTTTTTATATCTTTGGACATCTATATAAGTGTTTCTACAGAAAAAAAATACTAGATGTATAAATTGCTGGGTCAATAGAATAAAACGAAGCCTTTGAAAAGGACAATTAGATGGATAACATCAAACCTGGAAATACAGAAGTATTAAATGCTCAGTCTATTTGCTCTTTCTTATTCAGATTGGGTAATTTTTATTCATCTGTTTTCCAGTTCACTGATTCTTTCTTCTGTCCCCTCCATTTCATTGTTAAGCCCATCCACTGAGCTTTGTATTCCAGATACTGCCTATTTCAGTTCTAAAATTTCTACTTGGTTCTTCTTTACACCTTCTATTTCTTTGCTGAAGTTTTCCATTTTTTTTTTTTTCCATTTGTTTGAAGCATGTTCATAATTGCTCACTGAAACAGTTTTATCATGGCTGCTTTAAAACCTTTGTCAGATAATTCTAACATCTCTGTCATTTCAGTGTTGGCATCTACTATCTTTTTTCATTGAGTTGAGTTATACCTAGTTCTTGGTCTGATAAGTGATTTTCAACTGAAACCCAAACATTTTCGTACTATGTTGTGAGACTCTGTATCTTGTTTAAACCCTCTGTTTTAGGTGGCTGTCTCTGACACCGCTCTGGGAGGGGAAGAGGGGAGCGCTGCCTTGTTACTACCAAGTGGAGGTAGAAGTCCAGGTTTCCCACTCAGCCTCCACTGACACCCAAGGGGAGAAGGCTCATTACTGCCAGGCAGGAGTGGGAGTGGGAGTTCCAGGTCCCCATGTGGTCTCCACTGACACAGCAATAGATGTGACTCATTACAAAGTCCTGAGGGAGGGGGAAGGACAGCAGGGATGAAAGCCCTGGCTCCCTACTTGGCCTTCTCTGACACCATCCTGGCAGGGGTGTTACAGTTTCTCAAGGGTAGAAGTCTAGGTTCCCTACTCAGCCTTTGTAGGCAAGGGTGGGGGGCGCAGTTTTAGCTGTGGCATTTGGCTGGAGTAAAACAGTTATTGTCTAAACGTTTTCTGTCTTAGTAGGCTGACCCTTTCCTGATTCTCTGACTAGAGAGAGCAGGCTTTTGTTAGGGCATTTTTTATATGCACCCGCTGGTGTTTTCAGGTTGCCAGCTTCTTCTGCTTCAAGTCTGGGATGTATGAGGCCAAAAAAACTCCAGGAAACTCAGCACTAGCTGGTCTTCCTTCTCTCTACCTTTCGGATTCTTCTTTTTTTTTAAAATATAATGTCCAGGGATTTTAGTTGTACTTACTGAGAGGAATAGCAAAAAGTACATCTACTCCATCTTCCTGGTAATGGAAGTCTCTTAGAAGTACTAAATTGAAAAAGCAAAATAAAAAGTGTACATAATATGGTACAAAAATAGTGGAATATTATTCAGCAATAAAGAGAATGAAGCATTTATATATGCTATGTGGATGAACTTTGAAAACATTGTTAAGTGAAAGAAGCCAATTACAGAAGATCATATACTGTATGATCCCATTTATATGAAATGTCCAGAACAGGCGAATTCACAGAGACAGAAAGTAGACTAATGCTTGCTAGGGGCCAGGGGAAGGGAGGAAGGGGAAATGAGGAGTGACTGTTAATGAGGAATGACTATGGGTTCCTTTTAGAGTGATGAAAATGTTCTAAAATTAGATTGTGGTGGTAGTTGCACAACTTCATGAATATACTAAAAATCACTGAATTGAACACTCTAAATGAGTGAATTGTATGGTGCATGAATTACATCTCAATAAAGCTGTTTAAAAAATACGTATAGATAGATTCTGGTCATCATTAGGTGCTACTGAGTCAATTTCCAACTAATAGAGACCCCATGTGACAGAGTAAAACTGCCCCCACGGGGTTTTACTGGCTGTAATCTTTTCAGGAGCCGATCGCCAGGTCTTCCTCCCCCGGAGCAGCTGGGTGGGTCTGAACCGCCAACCTTTTGGTTACAGCTTAAACCGTCGTGCCACCAGGGCTCCTTAGATACATATTACAAGTATAAATACACACACACACTGAAAAATTGCTATCAGTTTGGAACAGATATTTTTAAAATTATGATTTCGTATTACAAAAAAACATACATGTCTACAATG